AAGGCAATGAATCGGTGAAACCTCAGCCCTTCCCTTCCCCATCCTCCCTGCCATTCCTGAAATCACTCAGATGTTTTCAGGGGCTGCCTTTGAAGCTGGGGCTGCTGAATTGAGCTCTGTTATTAGCAGGGGTTGGTTCCCATTGCAGGGGAGCTGCTGTGGGCAGTAATTACCCCTTGGCTCTCCCTGCCTGAGAACTTGCAGCTCGGGGCAGCAGCCCTGATCTTAATCAGCGTTTGTTGGACAACACTTTTCTTTCTGAGAGCATCTGTTTCACTTCCTAAGGCTTAACTCTGCCCACAAAAGGAATTTCTCTGGATTCTCTGATAATCCTGAAATTGCTGCTCCCGTCCCTTCTCATTGACCGAACCCACGGGGCAGGGGAGGGCTCATCCCCAGGTGAGGATTTTAGCAGATTCCTGGCCTAGAAAAACCCTAAAATCCTCTGTAAAAGCTGTGTGCAAGGTGAGGAGGTGCAGGATGAGGCTGGGTTTCACAGGAGGAGCGTTGCTATCACACAATAAATGAGTACACAGAAGCCTGGGAAACTCAAAAAATACCCAGTTTTATTTAAACATCTGGGATTTATAAAATTCCAAAGGTGACTGTGGATTGGAGGATGGAATTAGCACCTCTCCAACCACACTGCTCCAAAGATCCATCAATCATTTCTCTCCACCCACAGAGAAATATGGAAACTATTCTATTTATCCATGAAATTGTGTGGGAACTCTGACTCTCAAATGTGTAAATGCTATCAGAAGGTTAAAGGAGTTCTAGAAAAACTTGAAAACTTTCAGAAGAACTCGAAAAGAAAACTTAAAAACAACAGAGGAATTTTTATTCCTCTGCTCTGGAAGGTCCTGCAGGGAGTGTTTGTCACCTGGGTTTGTCACCAGGGCTTAACTGGCAGCCTGGTTTGCCCTGGCCATGTGGGCTTGGCCCTCATCAGATACTCCAGGGGGTAAGCCAGATACTCCAGGGAGTGAATACTCTGGGATCAGATACTCCAGGGAGTAAATATTGCCAGATACTCCAGGGAGTGAATGCTCTGGGGTCGCATACTCCAGGGAGTGAATACTCTGGGATCAGATACTCCAGGGAGTAAATATTGCCAGATACTCCAGGGAGTAAATACTCTGGGATCAGATACTCCAGGGAGTGAATACTCTGGGATCGGATACTCCAGGGAGTAAATATTGCCAGATACTCCAGGGAGTGAATGCTCTGGGGTCGGATACTCCAGGGAGTAAATACTCTGGGATCAGATACTCCAGGGAGTGAATACTCTGGGGTCGCATACTCCAGGGAGTAAATACTCTGGGGTCGGATACTCCAGGGAGTAATGCTCCCAGATATTCCATGGA